TAAATCACAACGCCGTCGTAGGGGTTACCAAGTCACTTTTATTTTAAGAAGTTAGGATATTCGGCCAAGTCATAGGAATATAGGCAAGCAAAATAACACAGTAGTCAAGTTGAGTAGTGTAAGAGGCACTTCTTTAGCAAGGGAATATCTGGAAGCCTGATCAACTTTCATTTGTTCTTTCTCCCGGGAGGTTCAGGTAACAAGTATGTTGCATGACTAAGTGGTGTAAATTGTCAGAAATTATTTGACTTAATTGCTTCCTTATTGAATTAAAGTGTGGTAGTACAAGTTTTGTGAAGTTAAGGGGGGAGTATGTGGCCGATTCATTTAAGAGATTTATTTATTTACTTGTTTATTTTTATATGCAAGTAATAGTTAACTTCAGCAAAACTTGCATCTAATGTTTTGTTTTATTCACTTCAAGAGTTCCTATGTTTGTTGTAGGTGGGGCTGTAAATAGTGTAACACCGGGTGAATGTTAAAGCTTCCCTCTGTGTGCCCACGCTCAGTCGCGTGGTGCACGCAGATGGTGAAGCAGAGGTAATTTTCGCTCTCCTCTAATCCTACAATTATTATCCCTTTGCAGTCACAATCATTTTATTTTGACACTAAAATGCTGTTTAGGGTTTCTGTTGTAATGTGTATTGTTGTGATGAGTATATTTTACTTTAAATGGTGTGTTTATTGTGATTTTAGAGTTTTCATTTGCACGTGTATTTTTCATGTAGGATTGAGAGGGTTTCCAGTGTTAAACTATACTGACTGTGCCTCACTGTTTTGTTAAGGTATGTTGTTTTGGTTATTGGCTTGTTATTTTAAGGATTCAAATATGTAAATCAGTTCAAATTACAGTAATGGTGTCATTTAATTGTGTCATGGCAGATTTTCAACTAATAATTTAATTAATGCAAACAAAAAGGGTTTTATTTTATCAGTGATCAAAAGAAAATTAATGCAATTTACAATTAACAGTTATTTAATGTTACATATTTTATTTATATTATGCAATTTATGTGATTTTGTTTTTATTGGCATTTAAATGTTTAAAATAGTAAAATACATATTTCTCTGTGTGCCTGCTCAGTCGCGTGGTGCACGCAGATGGTGAAGCAGAGGATTGAGAGGGTTTCCAGTGTTAAACTATACTGACTGTGCCTCACTGTTTTGTTAAGGGAATAAATCAGTGTTTCTCCACCTCATCTGTGTGTGTGACCGTGTTTGAGAGGGAAGTCCATTTGAAGTCTGCTACATGCACATCCGAACAATAATTTGCACATCGTTGACCATAATTTACTCGCAAACAGCGAGTAAATATCAGGTAAATATTGACGACTCTGCCATAATACTGTTTACCTCCGGACCGGAAACTGTACCGAGGCCTTAGACAAAGCGCGGAAGTAATGTGTGCATATAGCCCATTTCTTTCATATAGCATGCAGCCAACGAGGTATTTTGCTTTATATTTGTATGTTGTGTTTGAAGTTTCTAAAGTTTGTTTGTTTGTTTACATATGTTTTGATTTGTATTAAGTACATTTGTTTTGTATTCATAGTTTAGTTTTCACGGTGGATTTGGGGGAAAAAGCCAACAAATAAACCAGTAACACGGAAACCATTTGTGCTAGCGTATGCTTGAGGGAAATTACAGTGAAAACTCGGACTGTTCAACTACACGAGTGGGCGACGCAAGCTACCGCATGTTTGCTGAATGGACAGGATTGGCACGTGTCAGTAACGCGTGGAGAGCATGGTCGAAGGACTAACAGATGAGCAAACATACACACACACACAAACAAACGCACATGTATGAAGATTTAAGAAGATGCACACAATACAAATACATAAACAAACAACAATGGACTAAGTTTTCATGTGTTAAGGTATTTAAGAGTTGTTTAAGAAATTTGCAAGGGTTTCTAAAGAATTGTTATTTAAAGTGCATTTGTAAGGTGTGTGTGAAGCATTTAATTTGTTTGCACACACAATCATTTATGATTGTAGCTTATATTTATTGAAGTATTTATTGTTTTTTTTCTAGGATTAAATTGAATGCTGTTTTAAAAATGCTGTAGTTTATTTGATATACATTTTTAAAGGAATTGAGGTGTTTATATTGAGTGTTTAAAACATTTGGATAGAAAGATTTGCACATTGTATATCTTATGCAGTGTTATTGGAAGCTATTTATTGACATTTCTAGTGTTTAATCTTTAAATTAAGTACATCTTTTTGGGGTAATTGTCAAGATTGATTTAGATTGCATTAATGTATAATCTATCTTTAATTTTGAGTTAATGTAGTTTCTCAATATGTTAGAACCAAGTAACCTCACACTTCAAGTCAAAGAAAGTATTAGGGATAATGCAGATGTGCAAGATCAAGCTAAAGTAAGTCATGAGGGTGGTCAAGCTCATCAAGCTCAAAAAGTAACAGAGAAAGGTAAAGAAATGCAAGCTGCAAAAATTAAATCACTTCAACAAAGGTTCACCTATCTTTACATCAAATGTAAAACCTATGTCTAATCTTCTAAGCAGACATTATCACAGTCAAAAGAGATGTTATCTGATGATATTCTCAATATTATTAGTGATGTTGTAGGTATCTCTGAAGAAGTTCAGCGTGTGTATGATGAACTGTGTAAGATTTCAACACCAGAGCAAGAAACACGTAGAAGAGTGGACTTGTGTTTGGAAGTTTCTAACTTTATTGTATCTAGAGCCTCAAATCACTTGCAAGGAAGGGCTCCAGAAGGGGAACATGAAGACTGGCCGGAAGCAGGTTCTCTTTTCAAGTCAAGTACATCAAGTGAGTCAAGTTTTGTCTCCTCTATCTTGAAAGCATCCTCAGAGTGTTCAAGTAGGTCTTCTGTAATGCGACAAGATGCTGCGGCTGATGCTGCTGCAAGCCAGGCTGTTCTTGAAGTGTTAGAAGAACAAAATAAAGAACAGCAGGGAATTCAGCTTCTAGAAGCTCAAGTTAAAAAGAAGATAGCTGATCAAGAGGCAGCAGCTGCAAAATGTCTTTTAGAGCAAGAATCAGAAGAGTTGAAACTAAGAATAAAGAGAGAAGAGGAAGCTAAGATTAAAGCTTAAATAGAAGAGGAACATGAAGCCTTGCAGAAGACTCTAGAGGAAAAATTAAGAAAGATAAAGCAGTTGGAAGCAGAGAAAAGTTTGAAGGTAGCACGAGCAAGAATGAAAGTGTATGATGAAGAAGCAGTCATTAAAGATAATAAAGACTCCCTGAAAATATCTTTAGTACCGCAAGCTGTGACCACCACCTCCTCAAATGAAAGTACAACAGATCTTGTGAAGGTTCTGGTGGGTGCTTTAAGTGCAAGTAGAATTCCAGTTCCTGAACCATCAGTATTCAGTGGTGATCCGTTGAAGTACAGCGATTGGAAGCTTTCTTTTGAAACACTAATTGATCAGAAAACCATTCAAGATAAAGAGAAGATCTGTTATCTTTGTAGATATGTAAGTGGCCAAGCTAAGAAAGCACTTGATGGATATTTCCTTCTTGGAACTGAATCTGCAGATGCTGCTGCATGGGAAGTTTTAGAGTAGAGATATGAGAATCGGTTTACAATTGCAAAGTCATATAGAGATAAGCTCCAAGCATGGCCTAAGATGGGCTATAGAGACAGTTTTGAGCTAAGAGAATTTGTTGATTTTCTTCGCAGTTGTGAAGCTGCTATGGCTCACATCAAAGCATTAGAAATCTTGAATGATTGTAATGAGAACCGGAATATTCTCTCAAAGTTACCAGAATGGTTGGTTGTTAGCTGGAATCGAAAGGTCATTGAAATCGAAGAAGAGACTGACCAATTTCCTTCCTTCAGTCAATTTGTCAAGTTTTTGACGAGAGAGGTAAAGATTGCTTGCAATCCTGTTACATCCTTACAAGCACTTAAACTTGGTGAAGCTGAAAACCCAAAGTCTCAAAAACGTCAAAGCTTTGGAGCAAAGACCTTAACAACAAGTACTAGTGAAAGACCTTTTATAATGTGTATTTTCTGTCAGAAGCCAGGACACATTTTCCATAAATGTGAGAAGTTTATGGAAAATTCTATTTCAGACAAGATTAAATTCGTTCAAGCGGAAATGTTATGCTTTGGGTGTCTTAAGTCTGGTCACTTCTCAAAGATTTGCAAGGACAAAAGTGTATGTGATGTGTGCCACAAGAGGCATCCAACTTGCTTACATGAGGAGCGAATTAAAGAAAATCCAAAATTTCAACAAGTTAAATTGAGCTCAAGACAAGAAAGGCACCAAGAAAGACTTCTATTGAAACAGCCTAATGAAATAACTACAGTGGTTACTTCCAATAGAGTGATTCTTGATGATTCTAACACTCAAACAGCAGCAATAATTCCTGTTTGGATCTCGTCTATAACTCAACCAGCTCAAGAAGTTCTTGTTTATGCCCTGTTAGATTCCCAAAGTGATACAACGTTTATTTTAAATGAAGTAGATGAAGCATTAGATGCAAGCAAGGAACAAGTTAAGCTCAAGCTTTCTACTATGACTTCAAGAACTACAGTGGTAAGCTTTCAAAAGGTAAAAGACCTACAAGTCAGAGGATTTTGTTCTGTTAAAAGGATATCTTTACCATCAGTGTACACTCGGGAGTTTATTCCAGCCAACAGAACTCGTATACCATAAATATCACACAGAAAAGTGATGGTCGTTATGAAATGCCATTACCATTTAAAAGAGAAAACCCAAACCTTCCTAATAATCAAATATGTGCAGTTCAACATCTGAAATGTCTTGAAAAGAGATTTAAGAAAGATCAGCAGTATTACGAGGACTATGTAAAATTCATGAATGACATAATTTGAAGTAGATGATGCAGAGAAGGTTCCTGAAGAAGAAATTAACAACAGTCCAGTTTGCTATATTCCGCATCATGGAGTTTATCATCCACAGAAACCAGGGAAAATACGTGTTGTATTTGACTGTTCTGCTAAGTTTCAAGACACATCTCTCAACGACCATCTGCTTACAGGTCCTGACCTAACCAATGCATTGGTAGGAGTTATATGCCTTTTTCAAAAGGGTCCCATCGCTATCACATGTGACATTGAAAGAATGTTCCACCAGTTTCATGTCAGTAAGAAGGATCAAGATTACCTGCAATTTATGTGGTGAGATAATGGAAATTTAGAGACTGCACCATCAGTCTACAGAATGGGTGTTCATTTGTTTGAAGCTGCCTCATCACCTCGTTGTTCTAATTTTGGCTTGAAACATCTGGCAACACAAGGGCACGGCCAGTATAGTGAAGATACCATCCACTTCATTCAAATAAATTTCTATGTAGATGATGGGCTCATAAGCGTTCACACTGAGACAGAAGCTGTTCAGCTTATCAAAGAATCAAGAGAACTTTGCTTCACTGGCAGGTTAAGACTCCACAAATTTGTTTCTAACAGTGAAAGTGTCATGGCAACCATTTCAGAAAGTGAACAGGCCATAGTTAAAGATCTAGATATGGCTTTGAGTTTACCTCAAATGGAAAGAGCTCTTGGAGTAGAGTGGTGTATTACATCTGACTTTTTAAAATTTAGAGTTCAAGTGAAACCTAATCCTTTGACCAGAAGAGGTATGCTTTCTACCGTGGCCTCTGTATATGACCCTCTAGGGTTCATGGCACCATTTGTTCTTCTTGGTAAGCAGATTCTCCAGCAATTGTGCAAAGAGAAGGTTAGTTGGGATGAGGAAGTTCCAGAGCAATTGAGACCTCGGTGGGAGTACTGGCTCAGAGATTTACCCAGTCTAGCTGAAATGGAAATCAAGAGAAACTTCTTACCTTCAAATTTCGATGATACCACAATGTATGAGCTCCATCATTTTGCAGATGCAAGAGTCACTGGATATGGTGAATGTACTTACCTGAGAACCATTAACAAGTCTAATGAAGTTCATTGCTGTTTGGTGATGGGAAAAGCAAGAGTTTCACCGACTAAAGTTACAACTGTACCAAGGTTAGAACTCACAGCAGCAGTTGTTGCAGTACAAATCGGGAGGAGCTAGAAATTCAAGATCTGAAGGAGTTCTTTTGGACCCTTTCTACAGTAGTTCTTGGCTACATAAACAATGACGCCAGGCGATTTCATGTGTTTGTAGCAAATCGCATTCAGAGAATAAGATCTAGTACCAAACCTGAATCATGGGCTTACGTTGCTTCTGAAAAC